ATCTTGATGCACGACTGGTTGTCTTCCATGATCTTGAGCTCGGGTCCAGACTTGTCCTCTGCGGCATCCAGAATCTCGCACAGCAATCGATGCACCCACTTGCCTTCTTGAATCGCCAGACTTAGTGCAATGTACTCAGCTTCACTTGTTGACAGCGACACACTTGACTGCTTTTTGCTTCCCCAGCTCACCGGAGCACCCATCAGGATAAACGCGTATCCTGAAGTCGACTTGCGGTCTGCATGGTCGCCGGCCCAATCTGCATCCGGGTAGCCACAGAAGTCTATCTTGTCATCAGGCTTGAAACAGATACCGTGCGACTTAGTCCCTTGTAAGTATCGCAAAATGCGCTTGACCGCCATCCAATGCTCGACTTGGGGGTTCTCTATTGAGGGTTACCGGTACAATCCGAACCTAGCGCGTAGTTCTTACGAGATAGTTTTTACATCGGTAATTACCTCAGAGATGATTAGACGCGTAGGATGATTGGACGCGTGTAAATCAGGTTGATTAGATGCACCATGTGATTGGATGCAGTCTAGGGTAGGCAGAAGTTAAGACCTATAAATCAATCACTTTCGAATCCTCCCTCAAGTGAGCAAGTGTTCTCTGCTTCGTTCTCTCCGGTCTCTCCGCTTCGTTTTCTCTTCGCCTCGCGCTCAAGTTACAACAGGTTATGAGCCCAAGCGCCATGTCGTCCAACAACACCTCGGCCAGTGTCTCCATCGATAAGTTCGATGGGGACAACTACTCAACCTGGTGTCGCTACATGCGCGGCGTGTTTCTGACGAAGTCAGTCTGGTACGTCGTGAACCGCGAAACGTCTCCAACCTTCACCGACACGCGAGCTTCCGACGAGTACGTCAAGGCGAGCAACATCGCGTTCGGGTTGATGTTGCTCCACATGGACGCCGACTACCACCATGTGGTCGACAACTGTGAAGAAGCATGGACAGCGTGGTTGCGGTTGAAGATGCTCTATGGTGGGTCGCAGAAGGCGGGACGCATCTACCTCAAGCGCCAGCTGTTCAGCATCAAGATGGCGGAAGGTGCCAACGTCTTGCACCATTGCAACGAAGTCTTGAACATCGGCGCAAAGCTCAGCAGCATCGGTGCCAAGATGGAAGACGAAGACATTGCGATCTGCTTGCTGCTCAGTCTCCCGAAGAATTTCGAGAACGTGGTTCTGAACTTGGAGATGAGCAATGCAGAGCTGCGCACGCAATATGTGGTCAAGGTGCTGACTAACGAGCACATCAAGCGACAAGGCGAGAAGATGACAACGGCAACGACAACGGTGAAGACTGAAGATGCGACAAAGGCATTCAGTACCGAGCGCAAGCCCTACCAATGCACATACTGCGGCAAGGTGGGGCACACGGCAGAGCGTTGCTGGACGAAGCAAAAGGATGAAAGTCGAGGAGCCCAACGCGGCGGCAATGGTCGTGGACGCGGGGCAAACAATGTCCAGTGGCGACATTATGATGAAGGCAACAGCTACGATCGAGTGGCGTTTGCAGTTTCGTTTGAATGCGGAGTTTCGACGAACAAGAATGGACCAGGAATGTGGGCCGTTGACAGCGGGGCAACACATCACATCTGCCACGACAAGTTCAAGTTTGCAAGCTTGGTCGAAGGCAATGATGGCGAGATCCTGGTGGCTGATGGCAACAAGGCGGCCATCAAAGGTGTGGGGACCATCGTGGAAAAGGTGATTCTGCCAAACGGGGAAGAGCGCGAGATCGAGATCAAGAACGCGCTCTATGTGCCCAGCATGAGCAAAAATCTGCTCTCGGTGCCGCAGATTAACAAGCACGGCAACTTCCAAGTGGTGTTTGACGGGGATACGATGTACGTCGCTCGCAAGGATTCCAACCAAGTGGTGGCAGCTGCGGATCTTGTAGACGGACTCTACTGGCTTCGCACGACGCAGCGATCGGCCAATGCGACATCACTCAGCAACGCTGTTGATCTACATGCGCGAATGGGCCATGCTCCAGTCGACGTGCTTCGCAGGATGGTGACAAGCCACATGATCAAGGACGCTCACATCCCTTCCAAGCCGAATGGATCAAGTGTGTGTCGAGGATGCCAAGAAGGGAAGATGGTCCAAAAACCATTCCCGAGCAACCGTGACAAGCGCACCTACAACACCTTCGAGATGCTCCACTTCGACATCTGCGGACCCATGGAAGAAAAATCTCTGGGTGGCAGCAAGTATCTGCTGCTGATCGTGGATGAAGCCAGCGGATGCATGAAGGGTTTTTGTCTGCATTCCAAGTCAGAGAGCGAAGAGTGCATCAAGAAGTACATCACGATGATACAGACGCAGTTCAACAAGAAGGTCAAATTTGTGCGACACGATGGAGCCCGCGAGTTTGCGACGAACTCGCTTCAAGATTTCTACGAAGTCGAAGGCATCGAGCAACAAACCACGGTGCCATACGCACATCAAGCCAATGGAACTGCTGAACGCGCGATTCGAACTATCGTCACCATCGGTCGTAGCATGCTCCATCATGCCAAGTTGGACAAGTGCTTCTGGGCTGAAGCGGCAATGACGGCCGTCTATGTGAAGAACCGTTTGCCGTCACCCAAGATTCCACACAAGACACCGTTCGAGATTGTCTACAATTCTAAGCCAAGTGTCAAGCACATGCGCGTTTTTGGGTGCCAAGCATACATCTTGACCCCGAAGGAGAAACGACTCAAGTGGGATCCCAAGGCCCGGGCTGGATTGTTTTTGGGCTACGAAGAAGTGTCCAAGGCGTATCGAGTTTACGACATCGAAGCGGGGCAGGTGATGATAAGTCGCGATGTCAACTTCGATGAGTCGGCCTTTGGAATGTCGATGCTGATTTCCGATGACGATGTTGATGGCCTGGACTTCGAATCGATCGATCTTGATGATGAAGAACCGCGTCCGAGACACTTCAAACAAACAGGAAAGCGCAAGGCCCAACCCAGTCACGACAATGACGACGCAAGCATGCCCCGAGCAGTGCGCCAACGACCCGGATTGGAAGAGTCAAGTGCGCCGGATGACCTCTCTTCACGTCGAGCCAACGAAGATGAAGAAAGGAAGTCGGAGGAACAACATGACACACCGACTTCCTCCGCGTTTTGGCATGCGAGTGCAAACGCCGTCGAAGCAGCGGTCGATTTTTCGGAGCCATCGACATTTGAAGAGGCAGTGTCTGGCCCGGACCAAGTACACTGGCGCAAGGCAATTGATGCGGAGCTCGATTCGATGAAGCTTCGCGGTGTCTTTCGTGCGGCCAAGTTACCCAACGGACAAAGCGCCATTGGCACAAAGTGGGTCTTCAAGATCAAGCGCAAGGCGGATGGGTCGATCGAGAAATGCAAGGCACGACTTGTGGCCAAGGGTTTTCGCCAAAAGTATGGCATCGACTACACGGAGACGTTCTCGCCCGTGGTCAAGTATGTGACGCTGCGAATGGTCATCGCCATTACCAAGCACTTTGGATGGCCCCTCGACCAGCTCGATGTGGTGACTGCGTTCCTGTTAGGAGTGATGAAGGAGAAGGTGTTCTGCGCTGTTCCGGAAGGCGTCAAGATGGAAGGTGATTTCGACTGTCTCGAGCTGATCAAGGCGATCTACGGTCTCAAGCAAGCCTCGCGTGTTTGGAACGAGACCTTCGACGAGTTCATACGCTCGATTGGTTTTCAAGCGTCGGGATTCGATCCATGTCTCTACATCATGACTTCGGAAGGCCATTGTGTTTTTGTGCTGGTCTACGTGGACGATGTCTTGGTGACTGGAAGCTCGCTCGAGATGATTGCGCGCACCAAGAACGACCTCAAGACACGCTTCGAGATGACGGACAGCGGCAAGTGTGCCTTTGTTCTTGGGATCGAGTTATTGGACGGTGAAGATGGCAGCGTGACTATGTGTCAGCGCCGTTATGTCGACGATGTCCTCAAGCGCTTTGGAATGGATGAGTGCAAGGCTGTGGCAAGTCCGGTGGACGTCAGCTCTCGACTGGTTCCAAGCAACTCTGCAAGCAAGGTGGATGTCCCATTCCGTGAAGCAGTGGGTGCTTTGATGCATCTGACGACTGCAACGCGACCGGACATCGCCTATGCTGTAAGCTTTGTGTCACGGTTCATGGAGAAACCCCAAGAAGAACACTGGGTTGCAGTCAAGCGCATCTTCCGCTACCTACAAGGCACCAAGATGCATGGAATCTGCTACAAGCCAAGTGCGAAGATCGACTTTCGTGGCTATTCAGATGCAGACTGGGCCGGTGACCTTGCTGATCGCAAATCGACGTCCGGCTACGTCTTCATGCTATTGGGTGCTCCGGTGAGTTGGGGCAGCAAGAAACAGCCAAGTGTGTCACTGTCTACAAGCGAAGCGGAGTACATCGCGCTCAGCCTGGCGATCCAAGAAGGCAAGTGGATCAATCGCTTGTTGTGCGAGATCATGGCGGCTGCAAACGAAGAAGGACCCGAGCTCGTCATCCGTGAAGACAACCAGTCGTGCATCAAGATGACGAAGAATCCGGTCAACCACGGCCGCGCTAAACACATCGACATCAAGTACCATCACATCCGTGATGAAGTCAAGCGCGGAGAAGTGAAGCTTGAATACTGCGAGACGACGTTGATGTTGGCGGACATCATGACGAAGGGACTTCACGGACCGCGTCACAAGGACTTGACGGCGGCGCTTGGCATCCGTGCGTGTTCGGATTGAGGGGGCGTATTGAGGGTTACCGGTACAATCCGAACCTAGCGCGTAGTTCTTACGAGATAGTTTTTACATCGGTAATTACCTCAGAGATGATTAGACGCGTAGGATGATTGGACGCGTGTAAATCAGGTTGATTAGATGCACCATGTGATTGGATGCAGTCTAGGGTAGGCAGAAGTTAAGACCTATAAATCAATCACTTTCGAATCCTCCCTCAAGTGAGCAAGTGTTCTCTGCTTCGTTCTCTCCGGTCTCTCCGCTTCGTTTTCTCTTCGCCTCGCGCTCAAGTTACAACATTATCCATGAAGCGCGTAACGTAACTCACAGCAAAGGCAATGTCCGGTCGTGTCGCGGTCATCAAGTGCATCAGAGCGCCTACTGCTTTACGAAACGGGGCGTCGATTTTAGTTGCTGCGGTACTTGGTATGAGTCGAGAACTGATGTCTGTTGGGCTGGTGACGGCTTTGCAGTCGCTCATACCAAAACGCTTGAGAACATCTTCCACGTAGCGTCGCTGGCACATCGTCACGCTACCGCTGTCGTTGTCCACCAGCTCGATTCCCAACACAAATGCGCACTTGCCGCTGTCAGTCATTTCGAAACGCGCCTTTAAGTCACTCTTGGTGCGCATAATCAGTTCGGTTGAGCTGCCAGTCACCAACACATCATCGACGTATACCAGCAAAAGCACGCACTCGCCACTTGTAATCTTGAGATAAAGACACGGGTCAAAATCGGAGACTTAAAATCCAATGGAGCAGACGAACTCATGAAAAGTCTCGTTCCATGCGCGCGATGCTTGTTTTAGTCCGTAGGTCGCCTTGACCAGTTCAAAGCAGTCAAAGTCTTCATCAACTTCGACCCCTTCTGGGATCGCGCAGAATACCTTTTCCTTCATTTCTCCGTAAAGGAAAGCTGTCACCACGTCCAGTAGGTCCAGTGTCCAGCCAAAGTACTTCGTGATTGCAACCACTATGCGCAGCGTCACGTACTTGACTACCGGCGAAAACGTTTCCGTGTAGTCGATGCCATATTTCTGCTTGAACCCTTTTGCCACGAGACGCGCCTTGTATTTCTCGATGGATCCATCAGCTTTCCGTTTGATCTTGAATACCCACTTGGTGCCAATGGTATGCTGTCCAGACGGCAGTTTGGTCGCTCGAAACACGCCACGAAGTTTCATTGAGTCCAACTCGGCACAGATTGCCTTACGCCAATGCACTTGATCTGGTCCACCAACAGCATCTCCAAACTTTGTCGGCTCAGACAAGTCAGTACCTTCGACTGCATTGGCGCTCGCTCGCCAAAAGACTTGAGGTGTAGCATCCTCGTTATCTTCGTCACTGCCCTTTTGCTCTTCGTCCAGATTGTCTCGAGCGCTTGATCGTCGCTTCGCTTGGTGCGATTCAGAGTCATCCGGGGCACTTGCTTATTCTAACCCGGTTCCACGACGCTCAAGAAGTGTCCGTTGTAGAACTTGTTCTTGACTGTTTGAACGGCTTTTGCGTTTTCCAGCTTGCTTGAATTGCATGGGGTGAGGCTCATCGCTGATGTTCATCGATTCGATATCCAGCGCAGTGTCATCAACAATTTCTTGTGGTAGCCTCGGCGAGAAACCAAGCGTTGATTCGTCGAATGTGACATCGCGAGATATCACCACTTGGTCCGCTTCAATGTCGTAAACGCGATATGCCTTTGACACTTCTTCGCACCCCATGAATAGTCCTTCACGAGCCTTCGGATCCCATTTCGATCTTATTGAGGGTTACCGGTACAATCCGAACCTAGCGCGTAGTTCTTACGAGATAGTTTTTACATCGGTAATTACCTCAGAGATGATTAGACGCGTAGGATGATTGGACGCGTGTAAATCAGGTTGATTAGATGCACCATGTGATTGGATGCAGTCTAGGGTAGGCAGAAGTTAAGACCTATAAATCAATCACTTTCGAATCCTCCCTCAAGTGAGCAAGTGTTCTCTGCTTCGTTCTCTCCGGTCTCTCCGCTTCGTTTTCTCTTCGCCTCGCGCTCAAGTTACAACATTATCCATGAAGCGCGTAACGTAACTCACAGCAAAGGCAATGTCCGGTCGTGTCGCGGTCATCAAGTGCATCAGAGCGCCTACTGCTTTACGAAACGGGGCGTCGATTTTAGTTGCTGCGGTACTTGGTATGAGTCGAGAACTGATGTCTGTTGGGCTGGTGACGGCTTTGCAGTCGCTCATACCAAAACGCTTGAGAACATCTTCCACGTAGCGTCGCTGGCACATCGTCACGCTACCGCTGTCGTTGTCCACCAGCTCGATTCCCAACACGAATGCGCACTTGCCGCTGTCAGTCATTTCGAAACGCGCCTTTAAGTCACTCTTGGTGCGCATAATCAGTTCGGTTGAGCTGCCAGTCACCAACACATCATCGACGTATACCAGCAAAAGCACGCACTCGCCACTTGTAATCTTGAGATAAAGACACGGGTCAAAATCGGAGACTTAAAATCCAATGGAGCAGACGAACTCATGAAAAGTCTCGTTCCATGCGCGCGATGCTTGTTTTAGTCCGTAGGTCGCCTTGACCAGTTCAAAGCAGTCAAAGTCTTCATCAACTTCGACCCCTTCTGGGATCGCGCAGAATACCTTTTCCTTCATTTCTCCGTAAAGGAAAGCTGTCACCACGTCCAGTAGGTCCAGTGTCCAGCCAAAGTACTTCGTGATTGCAACCACCATGCGCAGCGTCACGTACTTGACTACCGGCGAAAACGTTTCCGTGTAGTCGATGCCATATTTCTGCTTGAACCCTTTTGCCACGAGACGCGCCTTGTATTTCTCGATGGATCCATCAGCTTTCCGTTTGATCTTGAATACCCACTTGGTGCCAATGGTATGCTGTCCAGACGGCAGTTTGGTCGCTCGAAACACGCCACGAAGTTTCATTGAGTCCAACTCGGCACAGATTGCCTTACGCCAATGCACTTGATCTGGTCCACCAACAGCATCTCCAAACTTTGTCGGCTCAGACAAGTCAGTACCTTCGACTGCATTGGCACTCGCTCGCCAAAAGACTTGAGGTGTAGCATCCTCGTTATCTTCGTCACTGCCCTTTTGCTCTTCGTCCAGATTGTCTCGAGCGCTTGATCGTCGCTTCGCTTGGTGCGATTCAGAGTCATCCGGGGCACTTGCTTCTTCTAACCCGGTTCCACGACGCTCAAGAAGTGTCCGTTGTAGAACTTGTTCTTGACTGTTTGAACGGCTTTTGCGTTTTCCAGCTTGCTTGAACTGCATGGGGTGAGGCTCATCGCTGATGTTCATCGATTCGATATCCAGCGCAGTGTCATCAACAATTTCTTGTGGTAGCCTCGGCGAGAAACCAAGCGTTGATTCGTCGAATGTGACATCGCGAGATATCACCACTTGGTCCGCTTCAATGTCGTAAACGCGATATGCCTTTGACACTTCTTCGTACCCCATGAATAGTCCTTCACGAGCCTTCGGATCCCATTTCGATCTTATTGAGGGTTACCGGTACAATCCGAACCTAGCGCGTAGTTCTTACGAGATAGTTTTTACATCGGTTATTACCTCAGAGATGATTAGACGCGTAGGATGATTGGACGCGTGTAAATCAGGTTGATTAGATGCACCATGTGATTGGATGCAGTCTAGGGTAGGCAGAAGTTAAGACCTATAAATCAATCACTTTCGAATCCTCCCTCAAGTGAGCAAGTGTTCTCTGCTTCGTTCTCTCCGGTCTCTCCGCTTCGTTTTCTCTTCGCCTCGCGCTCAAGTTACAACAGGTTATGAGCCCAAGCGCCATGTCGTCCAACAACACCTCGGCCAGTGTCTCCATCGATAAGTTCGATGGGGACAACTACTCAACCTGGTGTCGCTACATGCGCGGCGTGTTTCTGACGAAGTCAGTCTGGTACGTCGTGAACCGCGAAACGTCTCCAACCTTCACCGACACGCGAGCTTCCGACGAGTACGTCAAGGCGAGCAACATCGCGTTCGGGTTGATGTTGCTCCACATGGACGCCGACTACCACCATGTGGTCGACAACTGTGAAGAAGCATGGACAGCGTGGTTGCGGTTGAAGATGCTCTATGGTGGGTCGCAGAAGGCGGGACGCATCTACCTCAAGCGCCAGCTGTTCAGCATCAAGATGGCGGAAGGTGCCAACGTCTTGCACCATTGCAACGAAGTCTTGAACATCGGCGCCAAGCTCAGCAGCATCGGTGCCAAGATGGAAGACGAAGACATTGCGATCTGCTTGCTGCTCAGTCTCCCGAAGAATTTCGAGAACGTGGTTCTGAACTTGGAGATGAGCAATGCAGAGCTGCGCACGCAAGATGTGGTCAAGGTGCTGTCTAACGAGCACATCAAGAGACAAGGCGAGAAGATGACAACGGCAACGACAACGGTGAAGACTGAAGATGCGACAAAAGCATTCAGTACCGAGCGCAAGCCCTACCAATGCACATACTGCGGCAAGGTGGGGCACACGGCAGAGCGTTGCTGGACGAAGCAAAAGGATGAAAGTCGAGGAGCCCAACGCGGCGGCAATGGTCGTGGACGCGGGGCAAACAATGTCCAGTGGCGACATTATGATGAAGGCAACAGCTACGATCGAGTGGCGTTTGCAGTTTCGTTCGAATGCGGAGTTTCGACGAACAAGAATGGACCAGGAATGTGGGCCGTTGACAGCGGGGCAACACATCACATCTGCCACGACAAGTTCAAGTTTGCAAGCTTGGTCGAAGGCAATGATGGCGAGATCCTGGTGGCTGATGGCAACAAGGCGGCCATCAAAGGTGTGGGGACCATCGTGGAAAAGGTGATTCTGCCAAACGGGGAAGAGCGCGAGATCGAGATCAAGAACGCGCTATATGTGCCCAGCATGAGCAAAAATCTGCTCTCGGTGCCGCAGATTAACAAGCACGGCAACTTCCAAGTGGTGTTTGACGGGGATACGATGTACGTCGCTCGCAAGGATTCCAATCAAGTGGTGGCAGCTGCGGATCTTGTAGACGGACTCTACTGGCTTCGCACGACGCAGCGATCGGCCAATGCGACATCACTCAGCAACGCTGTTGATCTACATGCGCGAATGGGCCATGCTCCAGTCGACGTGCTTCGCAGGATGGTGACAAGCCACATGATCAAGGACGCTCACATCCCTTCCAAGCCGAATGGATCAAGTGTGTGTCGAGGATGCCAAGAAGGGAAGATGGTCCAAAAACCATTCCCGAGCAACCGTGACAAGCGCACCTACAACACCTTCGAGATGCTCCACTTCGACATCTGCGGACCCATGGAAGAAAAATCTCTGGGTGGCAGCAAGTATCTGCTGCTGATCGTGGATGAAGCCAGCGGATGCATGAAGGGTTTTTGTCTGCATTCCAAGTCAGAGAGCGAAGAGTGCATCAAGAAGTACATCACGATGATACAGACGCAGTTCAACAAGAAGGTCAAATTTGTGCGACACGATGGAGCCCGCGAGTTTGCGACGAACTCGCTTCAAGATTTCTACGAAGTCGAAGGCATCGAGCAACAAACCACGGTGCCATACGCACATCAAGCCAATGGAACTGCTGAACGCGCGATTCGAACTATCGTCACCATCGGTCGTAGCATGCTCCATCATGCCAAGTTGGACAAGTGCTTCTGGGCTGAAGCGGCAATGACGGCCGTCTATGTGAAGAACCGTTTGCCGTCACCCAAGATTCCACACAAGACACCGTTCGAGATTGTCTACAATTCTAAGCCAAGTGTCAAGCACATGCGCGTTTTTGGGTGCCAAGCATACATCTTGACCCCGAAGGAGAAACGACTCAAGTGGGATCCCAAGGCCCGGGCTGGATTGTTTTTGGGCTACGAAGAAGTGTCCAAGGCGTATCGAGTTTACGACATCGAAGCGGGGCAGGTGATGATAAGTCGCGATGTCAACTTCGATGAGTCGGCCTTTGGAATGTCGATGCTGATTTCCGATGACGATGTTGATGGCCTGGACTTCGAATCGATCGATCTTGATGATGAAGAACCGCGTCCGAGACACTTCAAACAAACAGGAAAGCGCAAGGTCCAACCCAGTCACGACAATGACGACGCAAGCATGCCCCGAGCAGTGCGCCAACGACCCGGATTGGAAGAGTCAAGTGCGCCGGATGACCTCTCTTCACGTCGAGCCAACGAAGATGAAGAAAGGAAGTCGGAGGAACAACATGACACACCGACTTCCTCCGCGTTTTGGCATGCGAGTGCAAACGCCGTCGAAGCAGCGGTCGATTTTTCGGAGCCATCGACATTTGAAGAGGCAGTGTCTGGCCCGGACCAAGTACACTGGCGCAAGGCAATTGATGCGGAGCTCGATTCGATGAAGCTTCGCGGTGTCTTTCGTGCGGCCAAGTTACCCAACGGACAAAGCGCCATTGGCACAAAGTGGGTCTTCAAGATCAAGCGCAAGGCGGATGGGTCGATCGAGAAATACAAGGCACGACTTGTGGCCAAGGGTTTTCGCCAAAAGTATGGCATCGACTACACGGAGACGTTCTCGCCCGTGGTCAAGTATGTGACGCTGCGAATGGTCATCGCCATTACCAAGCACTTTGGATGGCCCCTCGACCAGCTCGATGTGGTGACTGCGTTCCTGTATGGAGTGATGAAGGAGAAGGTGTTCTGCGCTGTTCCGGAAGGCGTCAAGATGGAAGGTGATTTCGACTGTCTCGAGCTGATCAAGGCGATCTACGGTCTCAAGCAAGCCTCGCGTGTTTGGAACGAGACCTTCGACGAGTTTATTGAGGGTTACGGGTACAATCCGAACCTAGCGCGTAGTTCTTACGAGATAGTTTTTACATCGGTAATTACCTCAGAGATGATTAGACGCGTAGGATGATTGGACGCGTGTAAATCAGGTTGATTAGATGCACCATGTGATTGGATGCAGTCTAGGGTAGGCAGAAGTTAAGACCTATAAATCAATCACTTTTCGAATCCTCCCTCAAGTGAGCAAGTGTTCTCTGCTTGGTTCTCTCCGGTCTCTCCGCTTCGTTTTCTCTTCGCCTCGCGCTCAAGTTACAACAGGTTATGAGCCCAAGCGCCATGTCGTCCAACAACACCTCGGCCAGTGTCTCCATCGATAAGTTCGATGGGGACAACTACTCAACCTGGTGTCGCTACATGCGCGGCGTGTTTCTGACGAAGTCAGTCTGGTACGTCGTGAACCGCGAAACGTCTCCAACCTTCACCGACACGCGAGCTTCCGACGAGTACGTCAAGACGAGCAACATCGCGTTCGGGTTGATGTTGCTCCACATGGACGCCGACTACCACCATGTGGTCGACAACTGTGAAGAAGCATGGACAGCGTGGTCGCGGTTGAAGATGC